GATTGGCATGCGGGGATGGGCGGGGGCGGGGCCTGGCGCTCACAGACCACGCCCCCTTCGTTTGGCCACGCCCCCTTTGGCAGGTTCCCATTCAGTGCAATTGACGCGGGGCTCCGCCCACTCCGCTTTGGCCACGCCCCCTTCGTTTGGCCGCGCCCACTGTGATTGGCTCCGCCCATTTCCATTGGCCACGCCCCCTTCGCTCAGCCACGCCCCTTTTCGTTTTGGCCACGCCCCCTTCTCGTTTTGGCCACGCCCCCGCTGGGGGAGGTTTGGGGGTTTTTTTGGGGCGGATTTGGGTTTTTTTGGGGCGGATTCGGGGGTTTTGGGGTCACTTGGAGAGTTTGCTGATGACGCGGATCAGCGCCGCGTTCTCGTCCTTGAGCCGCTGGTTATCGGCGCGCAGGTCCGACAGCGCCTAGGGGCGTGCCCGATACCACTCCAAAATCACCCCAAAATCATCCCAAAACAACCCCAAAATCATCACAAAACCACCTCAAAATCATCCCAAAACCGCCCCGAAATCATCACCAAATCATCACAAAATCACCCCAAAACTATCCCCAAACCACCTCAACATCACCCCAAAATCATCACAAAACCATCCCAAAATCATCACAAAATCACCCCAAAACAACCCCAAAATCATCACAAAACCATCCCAAAATCACCCCAAAATCATCACAAAACCACCTCAACATCACCCCAAAATCACCCCAAAACCATCCCAAAACCACCTCAAAATCATCCCAAAACCGCCCCGAAATCATCACCCAAATCATCACAAAATAACCCAAAACTATCCCCAAACCACCACGAAACCACCCCAAAATCACCCTGAAATCATCACAAAACCACCTCAAAATCATCCCAAAATCGCCCCAAAAATCATCACAAAATCACCACAAAACGATCTTAAAATCATCCCAAAAACGCCCCAAAATCATCTCAAGATCACTCCAAAATGAACCCGAAAACCACCACAAAATTACCCCAAAATGACCCAAAACCACCCAAAATCATCACAAAATCACCCCAAAATGAACCCAAAAAACACCACAAAATTATCCCAAAATGACCCAAAACCAACCAAAATTACCCCGAAATGAACCCAAAAACCACCACAAAATTACCCCAAAATGCCCCAAAACCACCCAAAATGCCCCAAAACCACCCAAAATGCCCCAAAACGACCCGAAATGAGCCCAGAGCCCCGAAATCCCGGAATTTGGGGTCCCAGAGCCACCTTGAGCTCCTCCTCCAGCTCCGCCG